GCTCCCGCCCGCGGCCGTGCGGGCTCCTGAGGATGGAGGACTCCCGGGAGACGTCGCCGTCTTCCAACAACTCCTCGGAAGAGCTCAGCTCCGCGCTGCGGCTGTCCAAGGGCATGTCCATCTTCCTCGACGTAAGTACGGGGGGAAGGAGTTAGGTCGGTGCCCCCACCCGCCGTGTCCTTACTCTTCCCCGGGATGAGGGGTGCCCGCCCGGGTGCCAGCGCGGGGGTTTGCCCCCAGAATACCGGAGGGAACTACCTTCTACCTCGCTCTCCTCCCTCCCCGGAAAAGCACCCGGGCAAATGCCAGCGAGATGACCGCCACTTAACTTGTAAAGAGGGCTGCCCCAGACCTGCAACCTGGGGCTTAGCAACCCTTAATAAATTCCAAAAGTTAAAATTCCTAGCAGCATGGATTTCGATAGGGACTAGGCTTATAAATGCAACAGTCTCCATGCAGGTGAATAGGGAGTTTTAAACGGGGCTAAGGCGCTGCGGGGGATGGGCTGGGGGGCGACATTGTCCCAACTTACCTCTAATGTGCCCTTTTTGCAGCCCCCACCTCGTCGATACTCTGAGGTGACCAGGGGAGTCTGTAGAGATTGTAATTCCCCGCCTTCCTTCTCCAGCTTCCTCGGGGAAAACAAATCACTTTGAAAACACATTTGTTTTTCTTTCCACCAGTGGTGGCCAAGATCTCTTTCATAATGATTTCTTTTTTCACCACCATCTCCTATTTTTCCATGTTTCTTCCCTGTTATTGCCCTTTGTACCTCTCCACGCTGTAATTACTGTCATTATCCTCATCAGCGCTAGCGTTTAGCTGTTCTTCTTTTGGTCCTCTTCCTGGCTTTGATATTGATTCCCTTCGTCCATTTCTCTGATACTGATAGTCATTTTGGTTCTTTCTTTTCCTTTCTCTGCTGTTTTTTCTGCTGTCACGCTGTGGTTTCTATCTTTATAGCAATCTTATTTCTTATTTGTTTTTCAGTTTTGCTTTACTGTCGCTTCCTGCTGTTCTCTGTATTTCTTACCCTTTTGCTCAGCTGTTTTCCTCTGCCTTTAGGTTTTGTGATTTTCCTATCCCTCAGTTGCCTGTGGGGCTCCCAGCCTCTCAGCCCCTCAGTTATAACATTCATGCTGTCCCCCGAGGTGGTTTCTGGCTCAGTGGGGACAATTCTGGCATGAGAAAAAAATGGGCAAAAGGCATTGAAGAGTGATTTGTGCTCTTGCCTCTAACCTTCTCTGAATTATCATTTTTTATTAAAATCGAGGTGCCACTGATCTTATAACTGACATGATTTTCAGGGCCAAATACACTTATTTGTGGAGAGATGAAAATCTGAGGAAATCGTATTGTTAGTATGGTAATAGTGAAGCAGAGAGAATGAATATAAGGGAGGAGGGCAAGGGACCCTCCCAAGTTTAATTTGAACGGATCAGCTGGCACTTTTTAATTGGGAGAGAAGCCCCATCAATAACTAAACCTGGTGTAAGGCAGAAGATGCAGGTAAGCCTCAGTTGTGTTTCCTGGCAGTCTCCTCCCCTGATCACCATGCAGTTGCAACTGCGGATATCAGCATTCTGGGTGGACCATCTTCCCAGCAAAACCACAAATGGGATTCCCATTCCTTCCACTCAGTAGGATTGTAATACCTTATTATTCATGAGCACTCATCTCTGCTTAGTTTGGATCAATCAGATGATGTTATTGATGCTAATGGTTAAACTGGCTGGTATTATTCCTTTTAAGTCTTGCCATTCAGGGTGAAAAAGCTCCAAGGAACTGAGCTAGGAGACGGGGGCACACAGCACACCAGAGAAGGAAATTTCTCAGAGATAGAGACTCAGGGACCCTGAAAATCATGTCAGTTATAAGATCAGTGGCTTAAACAGCCATGAAGTTGATTCAAAGAGAGCAAGAGGAGGGATCTCCTTTCATTCTGACCTGATCTTCACTCTGTCCCCTAAGACTATCAAGTGCTTCCCTATGACTTTTTATTTTTTATTTTTCTGGAAAAATAAAAGTAAAATTTATTTATTTTTTTTCCAGTTTTATTGAGATATAAATGACATACAGCACTATATAAATTTAAAGTGTACAGCATAATGATTTCACTTACATACGTCATGAAATGATTACTGCAAAAGTTCAGTGAGCATCCATCACCTAATAAAGATGCAAAATTAAAGAAATAGAAAATTTTTTTTCACTGTGATGAAGACTCAGATTTACTCTCTTAACAGCTTTCTCATATAAAATCCAGTGGTGTTGATTATATTTATCATGCTGTACATTATATCCCTGGTACTTATGTATCTTACAACTGGAAGTTTGTACCTTTCGACTGCTTCATCCAATCGCCTCTCTCCTACCCTCTGTCCATGGTAACCACAAATCTGATTCTTTTTCTATGAATTTGTTTTTTTTTGAAGTATAATTGACCTACAACACATTTCATTTTTTTAATGGCTAAGTGATAGTCTATCACATATATATATATACATACATATATATACACATCACTTTATCCATTCACCTATTGGTGGGCACGAGGGTGCTTCCATATGTTGGCTGTTGTAAATGACACTGTGATGAACATAGGGGAGCATATATCTTTTCTAATTAGTGTTTTCATTTTCTTCAGATAAATACTCAGGAGTGGAATTGCTGGATCATATGATAGTTCTATTTTTATCTTTTTGAGGAATCTTTATCCTGTTTTCCTTAGTGGCTGCACCAATATACGTTCCTACCAACAGTAAATGAGGGTTCCGTTTTCCCCTACATCCTCCCCAACACTTGCACTGGTGTCTCTTTTGATAATAGCCATTTTGACAGGTGTGAAGTGCTATCTCATTGTGGTTTTGATTTGCATTCTCCTTATGATTAGAGATGTGGAGCATCTTTTCATGTGCTGTTGGTCATCTGTATGTCTTCCTTGAAAAAATGTGTATTCAGATCCTCTGCCCAAGTTTTAATTGGGTCTTTGTATTTTTTGAGGTTGAGCTGTACAACTTCCTTGTATATCTTGGATATTAACCCCTTATCAGATACATCATTTGCGAATATCTTCTCCCATTCTGTAGATCGCCTTTTCATTTTGTTGAAATAGTGCAAAATGCTTTTAAGTTTGTAGTCCCATTTGTTTACTTTTGCTTTTGTTTCCCTTGACTGAGGGGGCATGTTAAAAAAAATATTACTGAGAATGATGTCAAAGAGCATACTGTCTATGTTGTCTTCTAGAAGTTTTATAGTTTTGGGTCTTATATTTAAGCCTTTAATCCATTTTTAATTTATTTTTGTGCATCATCTGAGAGAGTAGTCAAGTTTGATTCTTTTGCATGTAGCTGTCCAGTTTTCCCATCATCATTTATTGAGGAGACTTCCTGTTTATATATTCTTGCCTCCTTTGTCATAGATCAAGTGACCACGTGAGCGTGGGTTCATTTCTGGACTCTGTCCTGCTTTATTTATATATATGTCTTTTTTTGTGCCAGAACCTTACTGTTGTGATTACTGTGACTTTGTAGTATAGTTTGAAATTAGGAAGCATTATACCTCCAGTTTTGTTCTTTCTCAAGATTGTTCTGGCTATTCATGGTCTTTTGTGTTGCCATACAAATTTTAGAACTATTTGTTCTAGTTCTGTGAAGAGTGCCATTGGTATTCTGATAGGGATTGCATTGAATCTGTAGATTGCCTTGGATAGTATGGTCATTTTAACATTATTCTTTCAATCCATATACATGATATATCATTCCATCTGTTTATATCTTTAATTTCTTTCATCAATATTTTGTAGTTTTTTGAGTACAGTTTTTTTAATCTCCTTAGTTAGATTTATTCCCAGGTATTTTATTCTTTTTGATGTCACTGTAAATGGTGTTGTTTTCTTTATTTCTCTTTTTGATAGTTCATTGTCAGTGTATAGAAATGTAACAGATTTCTGTATACTAATTTTGTATCCTGGAACTTTACTAAATTCACTGATGAATTTTTTGGTGGCGTATTTAGTTTTTTCTATTTCTAGTATCATGTCATCTGCAAACAGTGACAGTTTTACTTCTATCTTCCTCGTGTTGGCCTGCTGGCGGGCAGGGCCAAGGCCCAGGGTGTCCTGGGGCTGGTGCCCACCTTCTGGTGCATAGGATTTGTAAGCAGCCTTTGGGCTGCAGTGGTCCTGGGGCTGGTTTCTGTGCACTGGGCAACAGAGCTGGAGCCCAGGGGGCCCTTGGGCTGGTGCCTGTCACTAATGTGTGAGGTTGGTCTTGGAGCTTTTGCTGGCCAGCTGGTTGGTAAAGCTGGGTCTCAGAGTTGCTGGCTGCTGAGCCCTGGAGGTCCTGGGGCAAGTGCCACCACGCTGGTGCATGGGGATGGGTCCTGGGTCCTGGGTCCTTGACTGGACTGGGCCATGTCCTGGGGCAGCTGTAGGCTCAGGGGGTCTTAAGGCAGCTGGCCTGCTGGTGGCTGGGGCTGTGTCCCCTCATGGCTAGTTGCTTTGCTTGGCCTGAGGCATCCCAGTACTGGTGCTCACAGGTTGGGGGCAGGTTTGGATCCTGGGGCCAATAAGCTGGAGAGAGGATTCCAAAATGCCTCTTGTCAGCACTTGTATCCTTGCTGCCGCCTCCGTCTGTGTCCCCAGGGTGAGCTCCAGTTGCCTCTTGACTCTCCCAGAGGCTGTCCAGGATCAGCAGGTGAGTCTGACCCAGGCTTCTTTCAAATTACTGCTTCTCTCATGGGTCCCGGAGTGTGTGAGATTTGGCATGTGCCCTTTAAGAGTGGAGTCTGTATTTCCTCCAGTCCTCTGACTCTGCTAAAGGGACACCCCGCTGGCCTTCAAAGCCAGATGTTTTGGGCACTTGCCATCCAGGTGCAGGACCCCAGGCTGTAGAGCCTGAGGTGGGGCTCAGACCCCCCACTCTCTGGGGACAACCTCTGCAGTTGTAATTGTTTTCCTATTTGTGGGTCACCCACCCTGGGGATGTGAGTCTTGATTATACTGTGTCTCTGCCCCTCTTACATGTCTTGCTGTGGTTCCTTCTTTTTAAATTTTTAATATAATTTTGGAAGGTTACTTTCCATGTATAGTTATTGTAAAATATTGGCTCCATGCCCTGTGTTGTATGAT